AATCCCATCGCCATTTGTCTGCGTCATCCACATCCCTGTTGCAGAAGACATGACTGTACACAAGTTAGAACCAGCTTTTAGGGTCTCTTGTTCAGGTAGCAGAAAACAGCCAGCCACAGTCCATGGAGCATGGTGTAGGGCTGCTTACCCTAAAGACGACAAGCATAAGTAATTCCATGTTATCTTCTGTGAAAGAGCAGCTAACATGCTTGCAGCGTCTGGCTTAGTCCGAGTACCTTCATCCTACCCTCCAATTTGCTACAGTAAAAGGAGTAAGTGCATCCTGCACATTAGATTTGTCCTGTTTGCTTTAGCCCACTCTGGAGACTCAGGATAGACAGGGCATAGGGGCAAGGCAGGTCCCCAAACCCCATGGTCAGTGAAGACCAGTGTCCAGCTCTGTTGGACCTTGGCCTCCCTGAGGTTGTTGGCAGAGCTCAATGGCTTGCTTCTGTGGAAAACATTTTCTAGCCTTATTTCAAGAAAGGTGAGCGACAGGACATTTAGTCACATTCTCTCATCTCCACTGCAAAGCTATCACCAAAATGCTAGCAGAAGCTTTGATTAAGCAGGGCCCTGGGGTGGGATTTTTGGAAGGGCCTAGCAGGGCAGGTCCCTTGGCCTGTTGTCACTGAAAACCTAAATCCTTTTGGCTCTTTAAAATGTCCCAGCCATATGGATTGAGGCTGAACCTCTACCAAGTATCAGTTCCTTTTACCACCTTCCCCAAATGTGACATCTGCTCTTTATGGTATGTCTATAATGCCGGCTGGTTCAGCTGGTGTAAATCTGTGGGTATCCTTTGGTTTCTCCCTGCTGGAGGCAGGGCGTGACGGATTTCTGCTGGGGTGTTAGACAGGTTGGGAGAAGCCCCTGGAGTTGAGACCTTTGGTGCTGGTGCAGATCAGTGGGCAGAAGCTCACCACATCTGCACTGATAACAGCTGAAGCTGGAGCATCTGCCTGCATCTAGCTCTCACAAGCTGAAATGCCACCTCGACTGCACCTTTGAAAGTTTCTGAAATAACCTTCTGTCGCTCTGCGACTGCACGCTGACCTCACTGTGGACAAAATGGTAATGTGCTGTGATCAGTGAGTCAGGGCTCCCTTTTACAAGGGTAGAAAACAAACAGCTCGACTAAAATACTGCCTTTTTTAACAAGAAGGACGCTGTCCATCCACTTGGCGTGGGTTAGCCATGAGGAGAGGGGGAAAGACGCACTCAGCGCAGAGGAGGTGGAGCAGGCAAAGGGGTCTCACGGCCCAGGCTTGTCGCTGCCTTCCTCCCTTTGATGCCTGGTGTCTGTTCCTTGCCTCACTGGGGTGCAAAGGCAGCTGCACTGCCCAAATTTCTGGTAGCCACAAGCCCAGTTCTGGGTGCCTCCATGCATCAGCTCTTGGGACTGGGAATAGGCTATATCCTTCTTTTCTTTTAAAAAGCACACAGCAAATTTTGAAGGTCCTATGCAAATATTCTGTGTGTCTGTGACCGGCACGTTTGTCCTACACAAGGTCAGAGCTGGATGCTACACAGCACTCGCTGTTCTTGGGTCTGTTGACTTCTGCAGCAAAAGCTCACTGGAAAATATAAAATGTCTTGAATCTCCCAGAAAGATTTTTGCATGAAATTTTTTTACTGAAAACTTATTGCCAGGAAAGCCGGCGTCTATTGTGCTACAACTTCTCAAACATATGGAAAAAAATTGCTTCACCTTTGACATTTTTGATTTCCAGTTACTTAAAAAAGAATTTGTTTTATAAGTTTTCTTGTTTTGGTCGTCTTATTCTTTACCTTCTCCTTTTTCAACTGGTAAAGAAGGAAATGAGTAAAAAAACCGAAAAAACCCCAAAACTTAGGAGAACAATTTAGTTAAACATTGAATTTAAGTGATGAAGAAAATAGTATTTTCTTACCCTAGTCACAAATTGTATTAGAAATAAGTTTTTCCCGATTGTCAGTCATGAAAAATAAACAATTATTTTTAGAGGGGAAAAATTAGTAAGTATACAAAAGATAATCTTCATGATTTTCTCAGTTGTTTTCTTCCCAAGTTTCTTTTCCATGGGCAAAACTATTAGTTATTTTTCTCAAAAATTTTGATGCAACACTCATTTAAAAAAAAGAGTAATCAAAAGCAAAAACACCGGAAAAATGTCCATTCATCTCCAACATCTCTTTTGGAAAAAAAAATACTGTAAAAAAAAAAAAACTCCACCAGCTGTAGGGTGGGAGCTCACCAGAAGCTCTCAGCATCCAACAACATTTGTCGCCGGCGCTGTTTTAGGATTTTGTATAACACTTGCCGGCATGAAAGCTTGTCGTGTTGGCCAGCAAAGTCTGCAGAGAAGCCCCGGAGAGCGTGAACTGTGGATTTTGTAGGGATAGTAAATACCTAGAGCCAAGGTAATGCCTTTGTGCTGTACAAATGAAGACGTGGGTGGTAGCGAGCGATGTTTGTGGGAAACTTTTCGCTGGTACCATTTCCCGCCTGAGCTGGGACATGCTGTTTGCGTTTCTGCATTGCCTCACAACAGATATTTCTTTGCTACATGCATGTGAGGAGAAAGCTCCGGTTTATGTAAGTGCTCTAGTTTGTTTGTGATAGCGTGTGTACATAGGCTGGATGTTGGCCCAGTGGTTAGGGCATGTGGTAGAGATATGTCCCAGTCTCAGCATGGTTGGATGCCCAAGGTGGCATGGCAGAACGGCTTGCAATGCCCACCTGGGCACAGACGCACCATGGGGAGACATGTGGGCCAGAGTCACGGCCAGCTGCATGGTCCCTGCTTCCCACAGGTCCTGCCGGGGCGGCCACAAGCGGAACATCCTCGCGCCTTCACCACCTACCTTCTTGTCCCTTCCCACTCTACCTCACCAGTGCCACTAAGCCCCAACACACCCATTCACCACCCCACAAACGGCACACCAGTCCTCTCCTAAGGTGATCTTGGTGACATAACAGACCACCAAGATATATCACTGACTTGAGCTACATCTTGTGTCTCCTAACTTTATAGAGAAGAGGGCAATTGCCACATCTGTATGTCCCTTTCGGAGGCAAAGTATATCAAAGACCCTGAGACTCTCCAGTGAAACAGTAACAAGGACCATACAGAGACTTTCAATGCACATGTAGACTTTGGGTCTTTTTAAGGTTGGTAGCAAGTGGTATCTAAAATTTCTCTATCATATTGCCTTGACTAATAGCAATACCTTGCAGCTCCCTGGGTGAAAAGGGAACACTAGTTGCTCTTACTTATTATCCTGGTAAATAACACTATTCCGAATTGGAAATCCTGGCACAAATTTATCTTCCAAAAATTTGCAAATGCAAGAGATGGAAAAGCTCCCTTAATAAATCATATTCCATTGCATGACAACCAGATCATCTAAGCAAAGAAAAATCTGGTTAAAACCTGGAGAAGAGACTGCCAAATTTAAATGAATTTGCTCAGGAAATGCTGTGGCTGATTCAGCAGGCGATACTTCCCCTCCAACTGTGTTGAGTCAGTGCCCGGAGAGGTTCTGAGACCTGTGTGCAGACGGATGGACTATCTGAAAATTCAGATGTGAGAAGAACTCTGTTAAATTTGAATGCTGAAGAACTTTCAACTGGAAAAATATTAAAAATAAAAATGAGTACTGGGAATCCTGAAAGACTTCGCCAATTCCTTTGATGTTACTCAGTTTATCAGTGAAAGTAAAAATGAGGCAGAAGGGAGAAGACACTTTTAAAAAATAATGTCCTAACATCTTAGGCTATCTCTGTTGGAATTAGCTTCTCATTTCAGAGGTCTCAATTTCTGGAGTGTTGCAAACACTTTAGAAACCAAAAAGAAAAAAAAAATTGCCTAGATGAATTTGTTTTCCCTGCAAACCTCATTTGCCGAAAGTTTCTTTCAATGTATTCATTGGTTTCTGACTATCATGACATAGCACCAGACTGACTTTTGTGGAAATTGACTCTCCACAAAGAAGTAGTGATCCTTGGACCTCCAATCCCTGACACTCTGTGTTCTTTACAGACCTCGAGGTATTTTGGCCAGAACAGGAGTCAAAGTGTCTTTGCTAAGCTCTGAGAATTTGAGGCTTTTTTGGACATTTAGCCCACACGTTTCGATGCCTTTGGTTTGAAGTAGGGTTTTTCTGCTCTGGTTCCGTCTCTCAGAAGTCTTTGACTGCAGCTAAACAGCACTTTTTCCTTTTTATAGCACGAACAGTGAGGCAGGCCAGGCCTTAATTTTCCCATTATTGCAAGGGGATTGGCACCCCCACCTCTACTTCATTCTCTGGAGCTGCAGGAAAGGCAGAAGCTACTACATCTCTGTGTGCTGCTTTTGCTGCCTAGGAGGGACATGACCTACAGCAAGCACTGAGAATAATGGGCACAACTTGGTCTTGGTCTTGGGACTACGTGACACTCTCCAGCAGAGCCAAGCCCCGGTGCATCTGCATAGCTCAGCATAGTGCAGCTCCCCAGGATCTCCAGCATTCCCTTTTCCACCCTTCAGTGGCGCGTGTGTGCAGCGTGCAGGTTCTGGAGCAAGACTGCACAACGCCAGCTGGGGCATCTCCGCTTTGGAGAGTGGACACATTCAGAGTAGTCGTTTGTGTCTCCTTTTAAAATTAGTACAGAGAAGAAGTAAAAGCTGGCGGGGTATGATTCATCTCACCCCAATTCTGGCATCTAAAAATATGACTGCTGGACCCTTTATGGTGCCCACTTTTTGCTAGTGACTAACAGTGTCTCTCTGAGCCTCGCCTGCAAAGTGTGAATGATCAGGCCTGTGTGAGAACAGCAGAAACTGTGAGGTGCAGAGGGTCAAAGGTAGTGGGAGGGCTGTAGATGGGATGGCTTCCCTCCAGTATCCCCTTGCTCCTGCATTCTCATCTCTTCCAACTTGTTCTTTGTGAATGAGGAGGTCATCTTGTCTCTCCTCGCCTCCCCTTTCCCCCAGCAGCGGTCTCATTACAAAGCCCTTTTTGTTCTTCTTTTCAGAATGGGGTTGTTTGGGAGTAAAAATCAGCTGATGTCCAACGAGAAATACACTTCTGGAAGTAATCCAAAATACAAAAATAAAATTCCCCCTGCACCACCCCAGGTAAGTCAGCAGTTACTGACTGCTGTAGTAACTGCAGCAGTCAGTTTTTTTGCTTCCTTTTAGGGTCCTCCACAGCTCTGTTACTGCTTGGAAAGAAACTGGCAGTACTTGTGTTTCATGGCAGGAACCTGAGTGCTTTTATTTCCTGAAATGTGGTCAACCAGTTGGGAAATGTGATTCAAAGGACAGAAAACAAATATTTATCCCTGACTTGCCCCCACAAGCTTCTTAACAGGGGGTGAACTGTTCAATTAGCCCTGAATACTTTGGGTTTTCCTCTGGCAAAAAGGATGCCCTTTTCTCTGTGGGGACATGTTACGGCCGTGAATTGCCTGGGTGGGCTAACAGTTTTGGGACTCTCAAAAGCTGGTTGCGTTGAGCACAATTATTTGCATAGACTGGACAGAGGAGCGGAGCAGGGGCCAGGAGGAGAAGGTGCAGAGAACACTGCTCTGTGTGCCATGCACCACTTGAGCATAGCTCCTTTGTGTTGGCCACTTATCTCTCAGACTTTCAACCCTCAGCACTCTGCAACCCGGTCCTATATTGCTGATTTGCAAAACGGCACAAAGAGGGGCCAGATTCAAGCTAAGATTCAGAGCAGCAAGCCACAACCGAAACTTTGCCATTGGGGAAGGCAACAGGCTGAAGAAAGAGAGTCAAACCAGTAAGACATGAGGTTAGGATTCAGGAGACCCGGATAGACAAACTCCCTATATAAACCTGGACAATCATTTCATCTCTCTGCCCATTGCTGTGCAGAGGGGATGAAGATGCTTTCTCTGTTCTTGTCCTGTGCTAACAACGTTGCAATTTTTTCTCAACACTGCATTAGGCAATCAGCGCAAGAGGAGATCTAGGTGCAACTGTCATGAGAGACCATATCAGATCTTGAGCTCTGAGATGGGGGAGGAACTGCCTAATATTGCTTTTGATGACATATGGAGACTTTTTCACCCTGTTACTTTCACTCCTGAGTTCTCCCACAGTTATGAAGTCTGGTCTTCACGACAGCAAATGTCAGACGGATCAAGAGGATGTTCTTTTCCTAAATTTCCTTCTCCTCAGCTCATTGGAGAGGAGCTGCTTTCACTGTAAATACAGCATCATCAGTCACCTTCTGATACTCATTTTTTGCCACCGGCACCAAGCTCTCGTACGTCAGGGAAAATTCGTATTTCTTTCAGTTAGATTAGAAAGATCAGTGGGAATCTCTCCTGCCCCACACTGCTGCTGAGCAGGAATCAACGAGTAGTACAGACAGCAGGCACTAGACATTTTTAACTCAGTACCTGTGGTTCACTCCCTTTGCACATGTATAAATACCTCTGCCTGTAGCCAAAAGCACACTTTAATCGCTACCTACTACACTGTGGACTGCTCACATGATCACAGGATTGGGGTCTAAAGCAGGGTAGAGGGCAACTAAGCCCACCTGGCCATTTCCATGATATTAAACACTCAGCCTCCAAAACGAGGTGGTTGCATCCCAGTCGCCAATTAAGAATGGTCTCTGGCCCGTGCTAACCCGTAAACCACTCCTGGGGATTGTGTGAGTCGGTGCTGGTTGGCCTGAACCAAAGCCATAGTAGGGACCCTGTTAACATTTTAGCGATGTGGGCAGGCAGGTTGCAGTGCCTCGCTGCTGTTTAATCTGCTAGTACAGTCACAGGCTCCGTTTCCTGAACATATCCCCGAGCAAAGGATATTCCGTGAGCCTTGAGCTAATTATGGCAAAGTGTATCCCGGGTAGTCTGCTTAGAATAATATTGAGATTGTCATTTCTCAATGGGACATTCACATCTCATCCCCCATTTATCCAAGGTCTGGCACCAGTGAACAGAACTGGATAGACCAGGGTCTAAATGAGTGGGTAGCAGATTTATGCTGTTATTCAAAAGGGAGCCAAGGATTATTCAAGCAGACAGTCAAGTCAGCTATGAACATCACGGTGAAATATGCTAAAACCATCAGAACACATAAGGAGCCAGATGCAGGAGCCGTTGCCAGGAATAGAGGGTTGTTGACTGACTGCAGTGACTCCAAATCCAATTCCCAGTCATATGTGAAACTCAAAGTAGGTCCTCCTGCAAACATAGCAAAGTAATAAATGCCTTTTTTTTTTCTTTTTCTGTTTGTGTCAAAGGGCAGACAAGATATCAACAGCCCTCATCTAAACCAAGCTTCTGTAAAAGGTAAGATTCTTAGATCAGTTGCTGTTTCCTTCGCCTTCCCGTGGGGTTTTGCAAGATGGTGGTCTCCAAACAGCAGGTCTTGAGAACAAGTTGTCATGTAGCGAGTGTGCGGTTTCTGTATTTTTACAGTTGCCAGGCAGGGAGTTTATCAGTATGTTTCGGAAGATTCAGTTTAAATCACTAAATGTTTCTAGCTGCCAATTTCTCACACTCATCAAAGAGAGAAAGGAAAAATGCTCTTTCTTCATTGACTGAACAAAGTAAGGTCTAAGATATCAACTGCATGAGATTTCTGTCTGCTGCCCTGTCTGCAGACGGACAACTTGTGGATGCCCTATCCAGCCATCCGAAAATGTCAGAGGAGATTACAGGCATCAGAGGGTCCAGATAGACTGCAAAGAAAAAAGGAAAAGGAGTAAGCAAACAAAAAAAAGAGAATAAAATCAGGACGTCCGGAGCTCTTGCTTGGAGACTGCGTGCCGGCTTCGACTACCTCTGCAATTATTTGCAGAATTGTCTGATGGTGCCTGGCAGATGATTACCCTTTAGCAGAAAACCCTCTGCTGCCTCTGCCCAGTCTCCCACAGCAATTTGTATCTATTCATATCAAAGACATTTTGCAGATTAAAAAAAGAGAGAGAGACAATTTGAAGAGGGTATAAAATAGAGGAACCATGTTGGCAAAGAGAAAATGGGGGCCTTCAAACGGGAGAAAGAGTAGGAGAAGGGTAATAGAGGGCTGTGCCTAGAGGAGAGAGAAGGGACAAGGCTCTGGAGGAGGGGGCATGCTGGAGAAATATGAGGCAGAAAGGGAAAAGAAGAGAAGACCGTGTCTGAGGGGCTATTCTGAAAATGTGCCAAAAAACTTTTTCCAGGAGCCACTCCCAAGACGACACAACAACCCCACCCTGGGCCGTTTTATTCCTTTTAACAGTGAAGGGGGTGGGGAGGAAATGCAAAGTGGGAGGAAGTGGGAAACTCTTGGGGCCATGAGGAAAGCAAAAGGCAGGATGGCAAATAAATAGGAGGGGTGGAACGGCAGCTCTGCACCTTCATGGTCTTGGGGAGAATGATGGAAGGTCTCTCTCATACAGTGTCCAGAGGAATTACTGCAATGTCAAAATGTTCTTCAGAACTGACATTTGTTACAGACATCAGTATGGGAACACTAAAATGTTTTGTTTTGAGCCAGTTCAATATTATTCCATCTTTCCCCTGCGCTGACGTGTGTGGTGGGAGGTGTAGCTCTTCAGTCTTGTGAATCAGGATGAGCTTCCAAGGAAGTACCAGTTTTCCAGAAAACATACTTGCTTTTGGGAAATTGTTTTCATGGCACATTTCCAAGCAACTATGCTCTTGTGTTTCCAAAACTGAGCAGACATCGCCAGGGCAGGTTTTCCTGGGATTTTTATCAATGTTCTTACTCCGGCTAGAAGCACAACAGAAGCTACCTTCAGCGAGGCAGCTTTTACTTCTGCTTCAGGTTAGAAGGCAGAAGTGGAAAGATGCTAAAAAAAATGCATTAAGTAGCATGTTAGCTGTATTTAGCTGTCAAAAATATTTTGATTTGTTAGGTTCAGTTCCAGTTTTGGAGGAATGCAATGATAGTCCAGGGTAGTTCTTATTTTTCTCTAGTAGTGCTTGAATTTCCAGAAGTGACTTTGCCTCCATGTTGTATGTCGAAAGGGACTAAGAGGAACCATGAGAGACATTTGAGGCCTGTGTTTATTCTGGTGAAAGAAGACAATTGAAGTAAATTGGCAGAGGAAGCACAGAATCCAGACAATTTGATCACATTAAAAATCCAAGACCTGAATTATATCCTGTGGAGCACTTACAAGTTCAGTCACTCAGAAATGGCTGACTATGGAAGTACTAGATTCACTATAAAATTAAAAAAAAAAAAAAACAATTTTTTTAATCTCTGTTTTTGCACTGTTTACATTCCTTGCATTTTGATTTTTTTTCCTTCTGATCTCAGTGGTGTGGAATTTGTTTCATAGCTTCATGTTTTCACTAATGTCTCAGAAGCTGTTCGTGTATTTATTGTTAATGTAAGCCTAATCACTCTCATCTTTACTCAGCTTCTAGAAGTAACATGAAACACAAAATGTCTGCAACTCTGAATAAGACTGTAGTGTTTGCGTTACTGCCAACACACATGTCGCTTAGGGTGGATTCTTCTCTTGCGCATGTTTGTCATTTGTTTTACCTTGGGAGTAAGCACTGATGATATCTTTAAGGCTCTGTGGGGTGAGCTTTTGGCAGCTTGTCCTCAGGCATTAATTATAATGACCTAGGACTGCAGAGAGAATTATTTTTCGGGGGGGATCATTTCTTGTGACTTAGGAACTGTAGCTTTAACCTCTCTGCTTACTTTTTATTGACCATAGTATGAATAGGGCTGATGATTGTCAGAGGGTGAGGGCTAAGTGCATTTTGGAAATTAAGGTCTTCTGAGGCAACTCAAGATTAGCATCAATTTTCATAGTCATTTTTATTAGTCATTTTTATAGTCTTTCCCTGCATATGGATTTGAATTTGAGCGGAACACTGTCAGAAACATGGCTATGAGCTTAGCTGGAAAAAAGGAAGGATTGTTTCTGCTGAAAAGGCTGACTTTTCATTGAAAAATTAAAACTTCTGCTCAAAAATAGCAGTTGCTGATCAAAAGCAAGAGAGAGGAGGAAGATGGCGGGGAAAGAGCCCAAAACATTTGGATTTCCTAACAAAACAGTTACGGGCTTGGGTTTGGCATAATTTTCTGGAGAAAGCAAGAATTATCTGCAAACATGCTCACTGAGTCAAAACACGAGGCTCAAACATTTTTGGTAGAAAACATTTTCCCAGCGCAAGTCTGGATGCCCCAAGAGACACCTCCCACACGGTCAAACCTGTGCTTGCCGACTGCTGGGAGAGGTGACGATGCCAGCATGCAGGCTCTGCATCTCCATCAATGAGCGCAGCGATAAGGCCAGTGTGCCGTCAGCATCTGCATGTTGCTCACGCATGCTTTTCTAGCTCGCATTTACCCTAGCAAACCAGCCCACGCCACGCCGAAACGAGAAGCCAGACCCATTTTCAGTAATATTAGCTCATAGCTCAGCGCACCCAGCTGGCCAACACACGCTCTGAGGATCTGTCATTTACCCCATGACCATCCTAGCATTGCTCGAAACCAATTCGTGGTCCTCCAAGGGGCCTTGGCACAGTCTCAGCACGGCTCTGTAGCCGTGGAACAGCTGCAAAGGTCCCCCATTCATGACAGGACAGCAGTGGGAAGACTGAATCATTTCTATTAAGCCATCAAACCGGCACTCAGCCTATGCAAACTGAGCTGGTATCTAACTTTCTTGACAGCATCGCAGAGCCAAGACATATTTGGCTTGCAATCAAAGTCTTTGGACTGTTAGCATTATCTGCAAAGCAGCCACTCTTAGCAGCTCCAGCAGTTTTGCTGTGCCGGGTGCTGTGCAGAATCACTCATGATCTAACTCGATCAAATGGGCCAAGAAAGTATCATCAACACTTTTTTTTTCAGTGGGGTGGCAGACTAGGAGACAGAAAGAGTCACTTTCATCATGAGACAGCAAGTCTTGCTGGCTTGAACAGAGAGAGCTTTTCTTCTAACTCACTTAAATGTGCAGTGTTTCTCAATACATATGTTGAGAAGTGGATAAGAGGTGGACGTAATATTCTTCAGCGTATAAAACCTTTCTGTCCTTGCTCTGTTCTTTTTTTTTCTCCTTCACTCCTTTTCTTGTTTGTTTATTTGTACTTTTTCAATTGCTTCAGGATCAAAGCTACATTTATTTTATTTTATTTTTTGGAATATATACCCATGCTGTGCTTGAAAATGTTTATACCTTTGCTTCTATTTTTCAAAGCAAAAGTGTGAGCACTGTATTATTGTACCTTCAAAAGGACTAGGACCGTTCATGTGGATGAGCATATTCGTTGTGGACTTCTTGCAGTAGGCACACGCCCAGAAACTTCTCATGTCAGAGAAGTTCTGTGCTAGAGGGTTGTGGACATTCACTCTTTGCATTCATTACGCCTGACATGGCTGCACTGCAGATGTATTAGGGTCTGAAATCTGTGAGCTGACTGTTGGCAGAAATAATTAATCTTAGGGAAAAGACTTCCATTAATCTCATGAACAGGTGAAGTCCGAGACCAAAGAGGAAGGTGGCACTTACACCACATGCTGTGTGGATGATTGTAGCATAAGTAAATTGAACTTAATTGTAAGAGATTCTCACTGAGTGGCCTTCTCTTCTTTCAGAGTTGCCTGCATCCAGCTTTAAAAAACATGGTAGCAACAACTTTATCCAGGGGGCAACAAGAGTCTGGATGCACTGCTAATGCCAAATCCTTTGAGATCCCCCAAGGGGAAGCCTCCAACCGTACAAGCTATTTTAAGACTTCAAAGCATTCTCCCTTGTGCCTGGCCATCCTTTCCCCCATACGTTGGAGTGGATGAGGCTCTGTTGAAACTTCTGATTGATTTCCGAGTTCCTCTTCACAAACCCGAAGGGAACTGCTCTTGGCTTTGGTTTGCAAAGCTACAGTTCCCTTCTCTTCTCCCCTCCCACGCTGGCCCTTTCTCATCTGACCTCTCCAATAAATCTCCAGGCAGAGCAGAAGTCGGGCCCTGCCCACATGCAAAACAAGTTGCCCCAGAGACATGTTATCTCATGATGACAAAGGGCCAGTCTGGCTCCCTTGCTGGTGGCATTATTTGAAAAGGTCACACAGAGACAGTGGCTTGACGAGTCGGTTTTAAAAAACACTATATAGAGACCATCCATCGCTCTTACTGCATTAATAAGGCTGTGTACAAGCTAAAACCTTTCCACAGACAATGTTCTCCTTTTTCTTTTCTGTTTTGCTACTGTGTTTTGGTTTGGTTTTCTTGCATGCTGATCTTCTTTATAAGGTTTGATCTGCCCTAAAATAGCTACTTGTTTCTGCTTCAGTAGCTATGAGCATGCAGAGCACATGTGAACAGTTGCACAGCCTCTCACAGAGCAGCACCAGCACAACCCGGACATGCAAACATAGCGATTCAGCTCCCCTGAGCCTCCCGCTTGCAGAGATCCGCACCCGGGGTGGGTTAGCAGTTTTGTAGCACAAATACCAGGCGGCAGCTCTGCCATGCACAGTGCTGCTTGCACGCAATGGTGCCTGAAAGCCTATTTTGCCATGACAAAATTTAGGCTGGACCCGTATGACCGGAGTAGAAGTGATAAGTTACGGGAGAGGACGAGTTCTTAGACCCACTCACAGCCTCAGTCCGCCCCAGTTGCAAGTAAAATGGGAGACAGAAAAGCACAGAGTACCAGTTTCACGGTGTGGAGTGAGGAAATCCAAAATATATCAAGGCCAGAGAAGTGGAAGGACAGCCTGGAGCAGCAGCCACCTCCGTGAGAGTTTTAATAGAGTGAACTGAAGGGAGCAGCTGGTTGTTAGAGGTGCTGGGTAGAGAATGGCAGCGAGATTCAAATGTGGTGTCACATGTGGGTCTGCAAGGCATAGTGCATAAAAGGGAAGGCCCAGCCACCGGCTGAGACGAGAGCATCTGGAGGGAGCGTTAAATCCTAGCAATGGACTCGAGTAGCAGGAACGTAGACGACTCTCTGTCTTTTTCAATCAAAACCCCCTCACCTTTCTGAGTGAAATCCCAAAGCCACCCTGAGAAATATTGCCGCAGCAGTTTTCATTTACCGCTATGTAAAATTGAGGCCAAGCGCTGACAATTTATTTACGACTTTTCTCATTCCACACCAGCGTTATTTTCTTGTCGACTCTCTAGCTTTTGTGGAAACAGGGATCCGGAGTGTTTTGAAAATATCTATACAGGCAACAATTTGGTGAATCAGTGCTAGTCCCCTGAGCAGAGGTTGCAGTTGACAGGAAAATTGGATTGGTGGAAAGCTTGGGTTTGGGGGTACTGGGGGGGCCCCTGCGCAGGTGGGGCTTGAAACACCATGCCACACACCTGAGTGTGCATCACCCCCCAGCAGAGAGCAGGCTGAATTCAATGATGTCACTTCTTCTTTTAGATGACTATACTGTAATTGCACTGTACGATTTTGCTGCCTCAAGTGACCGTGACCTGGAGCTGGTCAAGGGGGATAAACTCCAAGTCCTCTCTAAGTAAGTAACTTACTGCCGGAGGGAAATCAGATGTGCATGGTCAGGCTGGGAAAGGGGAGGACCTTGGAGATGAATGTAATTTGCAGCTCACCAGAGTTGTGCCTTTTTCTTAGCTCTGCTCCAGATGCCGAGTGTGACTGGCCACTCTGCTCTCTCTTTCTCCAAGATGGGGAAGGTGACGCTTCACTGCTTTCCTTGGGTTATAGATACTTTGGGGTCAGGTAGTGTCCCTGCCTGAGCACTACTGGGACCTTCTTCACCAAAGCCCAAGTCTGCCAGTGCATGTGGGTGCAGAAGCAACATAAATAACAACAATAACCTATCGCCTGCTTCATATTTTGTGCTGATCGTGCTTTTGCAAAGGATGTGGGTTGGGCGTAGTCGGAGGAAGGGACAGAGTCTAGCCAGAGAGGTGGATGGTTTCATTTCATTTTCTTCTTTTAAAATGTGTGAAAGGAGAGGCTAACAGTTCATGTGCCTAGCCCATAACAAGGTGGAGGTGGACTTTGATCTCCCAATCACTTTGCCTTGGAGCAGGCTGCTCAGAAGGGCTGCTCCGTCCTTGACTGGTCTGTGAGGTGGCCTTCTGAGGTGAGGTCTTCTCAGCAAGACACCATGGGCTGAGACCACTCAGCTGGGGCAGAAGAGCCAAAGAGCCAACTGGCTAGGAATGGCTTTTGGACTCAGCTGGTGGCAAGGCTGAGTCACTTATGGGAGAGCAAAATAATGATATGTCTGGGAGGTAGAGGAAGGAGCAGAAAGGAGGAGCCCTCAAGTCCCTATGCAAGAGACAAAATAAACCTACCTGGGCCCAAATTTCTCTCCTCTCATTTGGAGCACTTAGCAGAGGTACCTTGGTTTGGGTCCATGGTCACTTCCTGTGCATTGATGGAAAGAGACTGCCACATCTGGAAGCCCCTGAAAGATCATCTGTTGTTTTTTCTCAGCAGCCTTCAATCTGGCAGTGGCCCTAGGAAACTGAGAGGGGCCTATGGAGTAGATTAACATCTGCCTTAATGAGAGCTTACCTGCTTGCAGTGCTTTTGAAAGCCCAGAAAAAATGGTGTTTCTGGGCTGAAAGCCAAGAAACCAGCCTTAGGCTGGGCCTGTCATGACATCTTCTCTGGGCACTCACACTTTCTCTTCTTGGTTTGCAGTGAGGGGGATTGGTGGCTGGCAAAATCCCTCAGCACCGGAAAGAAAGGCTATATCCCCAGTAACTTCGTTGCACAAGTGAACAGCTTGGAGGAGGAAAAGTAAGTGCGTAAGCTTGTGAATGGCGAACATTGATTAATATAGGGCTTTCCTTTCTGAAAGAGCCCTGTCTCTCAATAGGAAAGACTTGACTTGCCAGCAGAAAGTAGTCACTGCTAGGCTGGAAGGCGAGAGGCCTTTCATCATCCATGACAACATTGCCCAAAAGTTTAGGAGAAGTTTTAAGTGTGGTATGGATGCGGAGCCGGGAGTGCGAGATTGCTATGGGGAAAGTGGCCAAAGGCTCATGCCCCACTGACATCACCCACCATGGAAAAAAAGCGTTTTGGGGAAAGAACACAAGAGTTATAATTAGACTGGTAAATTAACAGTGCTAGGCCCCATTCCTTGGTGCTGAGTGCCAGTCCATCCACATGTATACTATTTAAATCCCTCAGACTCTAACAAGGTGGCTGTATGCAAACTGGGGCTGAGAATCACTTGGTAGGGGGTGGGTTGATCAGGTCCTCAGCTGAGGACCTGGCAACAAAAAATTCAACAGTGGAGCAAATTGAGTGCCACCGCCCAGGCCCACATCCTGGTGCTATTTGTTTCAATAGCACGGATGCAGCCTTCGTGCTTGGCTTCCTTCAAAGAAGATGATAAGAAAGACTTGAGCCAAGAGGGTTTCTTATTCTTATAACGCCAGAGGAGAAAGGAAGGGTTCCCGTGAGGTACTTTCCCCTACGGTATTCGGCTATATGTGATCTGTCCTGCTTGCAATCTCCTTTTTAAGGGACCTGACCATAACTGAATCGAACGCAGTGCACAGAGCATATGATCAGAGCATAAATGCTCTTTGGACGCAAAGGGTAGGTTTTATTGCCTTGGACACCCTGTGCTCTGGCTCCAGCCGATGTACCCACTTTATACATAGCCTGCCTGGGCACGGCTCAGGGCTTGCTAGCTCGCCCTGGGGGTCCCTCGTGCCTCAGGGGCCTTGCACTTCCCTCATGTAAAGGTACTATGCAGACTGTCTACTATCTCCTCTGACTCAATCGCTGGGCTGTGGAACAAGCCTAAAGTGACTAAAATCTGATGTTAAATTACTGTAAAGAGTCTATTACCGGCCTTTTCCAGAAGATAAAGCTATTTGCTGATAAAAATAACCCTCAGTTTCAGAGTGTGATGGTTAAAAGAAAAAAAAAAAAGAACTAACTCGAAAGAATTTGCTTTTTTTCAGAGCTTTTTTTTCTTTTCAGTAATGATTTTTCCTTTTCTGTCTCCCAGGTGGTACTTTAAAACTCTGAGCAGAAAAGATGCTGAACGACTGCTGTTGGCTCCTGGTAACAAAGTTGGCTCTTTTCTTGTCAGAGAGAGTGAAACCAGCAAAGGTGAGATTCGCAGAGTGAGTGTAGCTTCTCATTATTGCCACATTTTGGGAAACCTTTCAGACTGGAGCTGCAGGGTTCAGCTATGTCAAAGTTTCTGTGGAGCTTCCTGGAACTGGTAGGAGAAAATAACACATACTAGACTCGGGAAGGCTCTAGAAGTGAGCTGGGCGTTTCAGGACCAAAGATTTATTCGTGCTGCTACTTTTATTTCTAGTTCAGACTGGTAAGGGTGGCTCCTTTCACCATAGTTCATTGCAGAGATGCGGGGACACAGATAAGCAGCAATGACTTTCCGAAACAATGATTAATGGGTTTTCTTTTCCTTTTTTCCCTGAGGAGACACCACTTTTTTTGGCAAATGGAGGTTCTTGTCGGCACTTTGGAGCAAGCATTTGACCTGTTTCCAGCAGAAACTTGCAGAATTTTTGGGAAAGCTTTGGGGAGAAATATTTTTCCGGAGGAAATATTTGTTCACTGACAGCAAGGGGAGATGATGCAAGCGAGGGCAGATTTTTCTGAAGGAGACTGGAGCAGAAAAGGTGGACATGGTTCACTTTCTCTCCATATGAACCTGTCTGTCTTTTGAGTACATGACCCAGTGAGGATGGAAAAGGCAGAGCGTTGTAATCACCACTTTTGGGCAGTGGATATAGTTATTAAACATAGTATTTAAAAACTATGTAATTGCAACTTCTTTGTTCTGTTCTGTTAATTGGTAGACAGTCTGGAAATTGGTTTAAATTGTCCCACGGAGATTTCACTTTGGTTCTTCCCTACTTTGCTCTTCTTGCACCTTCCAGGCCAATAGCTATCTTTATAGCATGGAAGAAATGGTGCTGATGACGGTTCCCTGATTTTGCTCTGAACCAGCTCCTTATAGCAGCTCAGGAAAGTACTTTACTCTTACTGTGCTTTGGTTTCTCCCCTGTGAAAGGTACACAGGAGTCCTTCCTTGCCATATGGGGAGAGCTGGTCTGTTTCTTCCTGACACGGATCGGTAGAGACTTGGAGCATCCCTCTGAAGGAACACGGGATCTTCTTTTCCTTGATTCACTTCCCAAATACTTCCACAAGGCCCTGGCCAAACAGTAAGAGTGGGAGCAGATAAACAGAGTCTTCCATCTTGCAATTAATTCTTGCCTATGGCAGCTTCTTCTTCCTCTCTGGTATTGTTTTTTTCCCATTCACTTGAGTGCTCACCAAGGCAGTACCGATTCCTTCCCCCATGGCTACATCCTTACTAGTAAGTGAAGTAGTGGCAGAGCCTGGATGCTGCAGCTGGGTTCTCCACACAGTCGCTGTGCAGGTTTGATCCTGACATGACGCAGGCATCAGGCCCAACAGTCAACTTGAATGCAGCCACACTGTTTCGGAGGGTAAGAGAGTTTCATCATGTGAATGTGACTTCAGAGGGCAGGCTCTGGCATTGTGCAGTTTACTCAGACACAGAGGCAGTCTGCGTGCACAGAGCCCTGACTGCGTGGCCGACCCAACCTCGTAGTCATCCCCGATAACAGGATCTCGCCGCACAAGTAGAGGCACATTGAAGTGCTGTTCTTGAACAGACGTGATATCTCGTGTGCTCAGTGGGGCAACGAGATGCTCACCTTCCTGTAGCTCTCTCCCCCCAGCCATCAGGCGGAGGTGCTGTGTTAGCATTACAGCAGCCTACATTTATCTGAACTTTTAACTTCCATCCCTGCTCCACCCCTGGGTTCACCTCCATGTTTCCCTGCTGACGTCAGGGCAGCTAGGAGGGCTGCTTTCTATGCAGACTTGCAGTTTTCAGAATTTTTAGGGAACACTGAAGCCAGGAAACTCTGAAGAAATTTGTTTTTAAGCATTCCCCCCCCCCCCGATGAGTCATTTGGTTGCTTGAATATTGGTTCCCTCACTGTCTTTGTGGTGCCTTTGAAATAGTCAAGCTTAGACTAGTCACCACATGCTCCTCTTCCATTTATCCTTTTCTCACTCTACCATTTGTTTGCTGGGGTATTTGACCAGGCACCTGGCATAGTCCAAAACAGTGAATTGCACCTGGGAAGAATAGACCTTGGGGACAACTTACGCACTGTTCACAGACCCAGCAGATACTCACGAGTTGCAATTGAAGGGCTAGCGAGGGGTGAGGCCCTCTTTCCACACATGCTTTTAATCTGTGTGGTGTCTCTGGATGCCCTTCATGGCAGGAGTCGGACCTTTCCCTATACCTGCTCGGGACAATTATCTTGTGTTTCTGCTTGCCACGAACCGCAAACACAGAACAAAATTATTCCCCCAGCAGCTGTAATTCTCTGGAGTATGCATGAGTCCAGACCGCATGGGTCTTGGACAGAGGTGGGATCCTCAGATTCAAAGAGGAATAGCCAGGCTAGACTCGATCTCTGATGTCCTGTCTTTGCTTGCTAGAAGTAGACTTAACAGGAAGCATGTGATATTCTTCATTAGCAGCCATAGCATTTTCCGCGTCTGTGGAAGTCCCAAAATCCCAAAAGGTCAGAAATCAGCTTCTGCTTTAGGAAGTGAATCTTATCTCTGTCTTTTTTGATGCTCAATATTATGTCTCAAAATATGTTCTTATTCCTTCAAACACCTAGTCTTTCTTTGAATCGTTCTATGAATTCAACTTCTGTTCGCATACTGGCTGTGCCTTAGACTTCCTGAATGGCGATGATTACACCATTTGATCTATCTCAACCACAGTTTCTTCCTCTGTAAAGCAAAGAGGAAAAGAAAAAACCCTGAACCTCTAAAGGCATTATGACGCTGCATTTGCTAATACAAAGCACTGTGACCCACAAAGAGATGTCCAGAGAAGTGCCGTGGAATTAACCTTGCCCTTCGGACCTCAGAGGTTCTTCTTAATTTTCTCCTTGTCATTGTATATCTTCATTCACCTAGCACATCATCAACAACATTTGGCCTTCAGGGCCAAGCACAGAGTTGAGCTAGGGCAATTGTCCCATTAACTGCATGCTGTGGAGGGTGGCTATCTCATATTGGACTCAACCACAGCAGGAGGCATTCTGCAGCCTGCAGAAGTGCATTACCCTGTTACAGTCCATTGTAGGCATTGCAGGTGTCTCATTTTGCTTGTGGTTAAAGATACTGAAGTTCTGAAAACCTGGGGACTTTTCTTTCAGTCAACATTTTGCAGAGGCCATAAAAGATACATTCAGCATCCCAGGAAGACAGGTTCCTTGTTAGGAGAGTGTGGGAATCATCAGCAGTGAAATCATCAGCAGAGAGCTAGCCTTACTGAAGCTGCTGGAAATAATCAAATCTTTCCCTGAAGTAATAAACATTTTAAAACCTGCGGGAACACAGTCGCACGGCTGTGCCGAGTCACGAACTCCTGGCTAGCAGCAAGACTGCCGTGTCTGTGCTCCTGGCAGGAGGGCCCTTGCAGAGCTCAGTCACAGTATCCAGCTGAACTCCTGGGGGTCTCACTCCAAGTCACGAGTCAGTGGATGCTGGAAGATAGCATCACCCATATCCCAAAGTTTCCACTCTGTTTTGGAGTCTATAGGATTTCATTCTCTGCAGAAGGGAACATAGAATACAAAGAAACTATTTTTGTCGTGAAAATAGCACTTGATATCATCCGTCACACTGCATAAATGGTAAAGACTTAAGAGCCCCATGAGGCCTTTAGGGGTAAGGGATTGCACACGTACAATATGAAAGTGGAACTCAATCTGAGATGAAGATATTGAAATGTAGATATCTGCACATGCGGTAGTTGTCTGAGATCTCATTGTAGGCAATGGGGCTTGATTTGGTTGCCAAAACCCGGACATCTTAAAGCCATCTGAGATGCCCCAGGGTGTCCTGCTAGGCTCTAGGTGCTCCACCAGAAGATATGGGTTCACACCTTACCCGCAAGGCTCTTGTGGATGTCCCAGAGCATCTTGAGTGGTACTAAACACCCATTTTTAGGTGATTGAATCAGTCCTAGGTAGGTGAATCTGGAGCTGAATCCCACCCGCTGTGCCTTCTGTAGCTCATTCCCACTTGTTGTCTTTTGAACAGAAAGGAGCTGAGACCCCTGTGAAGGATGGGGCGAGGATCCAATGAGATCCTGCAGAATAGGTGGGTCTGGGACTCAGAGCTGCCCAGGGCAACACTCGTTTGTGCCCACCCTGCTTTGTGTTGTTGTGTCCTGGTGTGAGCCTGAGCCTGTCTGTGTGTTAGCCCAGGGCTGTGCTGGGATGTGATGTCTGACTGAGGGCACGCAAACATCCCTGTTGACTAAGGAGGGAGGACTCCTGGGGCATCCTGGTTATTGTCAAGGGAAAGCAGGAGTTTTGCCGTCCCTCTGGCTCCACTTAATTTTATTCACTTGTTGCTGTCATTGAGAGAAAAGAGAGCTGAAGCTTTTCAGCCCTGGTGCTTTGCCTTTCCGCTGCAGCTCCCAGGAGAACCCTTCGACCACAGTGAATGATGGGGAAAGCTCTGTGACGCTGACTCCAGCAAACAACCTAAACTCTGCCATGGGGTGAAGTACAGTCGTTACATCTAATGACAGGATAAATATTAACACTGGTAGTAGGTAGCTGATAGATTGGCTTGGAGGGTGCTGGGAGCCCTGTCACTGCTGCGTGCTGTGTGTCACTGGTTTGAGAGATGCAAGAGGGTTTAAGGGGTCAGTGGGATTTGGAGAGCAACTCCTGCTGGAGAGGAGAGGTTTTGGCTGCAATTACACCAACAAACAGATCAACTCCCCTCTTCTCTACTGACTTTCGACCCCCAATCACACTCCTGCACACGTGTTAATAATTAATTCCTGGGCTCCCTTCTGCAATGTTGTCTATTATCAGTACAGCTGGGTTCACGCCGAGTTTGGCTCCTTCTTCCTAGAGAGTCCCTCTAGCAGGCCTTGCGTTCTCAAATACACACACCCCCTGTGTCACATCCCAGGGTATGCAAGGCACCCCCTTGGTTTCACGCAATACAAGCCTAGCTCTGATGGGCTATACCCACGTCTGTATGTTATTTCAAGCACTTTGAAATTAAAATAACAACATCATCAACAATAACAATCACAAAAGTAATAGTAATAGTAATAATAATAATAATAATAATAATAATAGTAATAATAATTGCACTTTCGGGACACACAGGTAGCAGCAGTGGTCTACAGCCAAGTACTACGCAGCATGAATGTGGCTGATCTGTTCTAGCACGACTAAATGCTGAGCGATGCAGATATAAGCCCTAGCAGCACCCTATGCGCTGGCCAGAGACCAAAGATCACTCCCTGGAGAAATCACTGACAGCTGTGTAGTTGTAGGCTTTGGTCATCAAGACATGAATTGCAAAAGCGGGCCATTCCTCTGCTCTTCCCTGGAGTTTTTGTTGCCCTGTCAAAGACCCTGCAGGGCTGTTTTTCAGAGGTTCAGCTGCAGGGGGGGATGATTTAGCCAAAAGGGTTTCTCTGGTCTTGACTCCTGCCTCACCCAGGCCACAAAACCAGACTCATAGTGAAGGAAAAGAGTTTCAGAAGAGCAACCTTTCTTTGTTCAAAGGGACCCCACCATACTAAAGCTATGTACTTCCAGTCTTGGTGTTGTCTGGCTCCACAGCTAAACTGGCAGGTGCTCTGTCTTCTGTGAAAATTAGGTCACTGAATAGCAAAGTCTGGTCTCCCCAGAAAAAGAGTCACCTCCAAATGACTTCCTGCACTTGGAAAAAAAATTAAAATCTCCTCAATCCTGCTTATCAGGATTTACAATCATTGCAACAGAACAAACATCCACAGAGATGTTTTTCTTATGTTACTTTTTTAGAATGCAGCCCGAACAAGGAATGATTCCCAGTCACAGTATAGGAAACTGCGACGAGAATTGGTGCTGTGAAGGAGAAATGCCAGTCAGTGAGCGTTATACGTTAGTAAACTTTCCCCTCGTATGGAGCATTAGGGTTTCAGACTCACTGTGGAATGCCTCGCTTCTGCTTATGATCCTACATGACAGATACATATTTTTTAACATATGTAGCTTTGCCTTTTCAAACACTAAAAAAGTATCCTATCAGTCCAGGTGGCATATTAGACTTTGAACAGCCCAGCAGGTTTATAACATCTTACTCCGGAAATATGATCCAGACAAAGAGAAAAAAAAAAAACATTGCAAAGCTGTATTGAAATTTACGGTGAAATAGACTTGAAGTTGCTGCTCTGTAGCAACATCTAGTGCTATTTTTGCGTGCAAAAGCCCATGATTCCGATTAAAACCCATTATAAGGAGAGAAAAGCAGATCAGAGTGACAGATCTTTAAGTGGGTCCCTTGAAATGAAAAGCACCTAAATCTCTTTGTGAATCACGGCCACAAACTTACAGCTGGACAGGACAAATCTTCTGAACTCCTATTCTGTACCCTCAGTACAAACTCGTGATAAAAGAGAGATCCATGACAGCTGAACCATTGACTTTGGTACATGGGCTGTAAGGGATAACGGGGACACGTGGTCCCTGGATTT